AAACATTTACTATAGTCTAGACATTGCATTTAATCCTTGTACGTTCAGTACCTTGAACATAATAGGCATCTTTAAAATGATTTCAATTGAATTGTGTCAATAACAAAGTAAAAAAAAATCACTTCCTTATTGATTCTCTGCTTCCTACCTCCCTGAATCCCTTTACATCCCTGCCTTTCCTCCTCCATCTCAACCAAAAGATCCAACATCAGTAGCATGCCTTAGCTATAAAAGAATATATGCAAGACAGATCATCATTATCATTTCTTTTCCTTTTTGTTTTTGTACATTTTGATTTTCTTTTTTAAATTGGTAAGTACAGATACAGCACTGTCCCATTGTGCACATCTTGCTTCCACGTTTTCATGTCAAATATTTCTTCCATGCTCTCAGAGACTGAATTCTTGAATCTCCAGCTCCAGATGTAGGTATATGGTATGGTTGGAGATACAAGTAAAGAGGGTAAAAACAGTCCTTGCCCTCATGGAGCTCACATGCCTACTGGGGAGGAAAAATGTAAATAAGCAGATATATACAAGATATATTTAGAGTAGATGGGAGGTAATCTGAAAGGACAAAGTTCTAGCAGATGTAAGGATTTGGAAAGGACTCCTAAAGAATGTGGGGTATTAGGTAAGTCTTGAATGAAACCAGGGAACCCATGTGGCAGGGTGTAAGGAGTAGAGCATTCTTCAATCAATGAGTGCCCACTTTGTTTCCAAATTTTTAATACCACAAGAAAATGTTGTTATGAATAATTTGATGTATATAGGGTTATTTTTGCCTTTGACTTCAAATGCTCAGCAGTGATATCATGAGATAAAATGATTTGAACAATTATCCAGCATAATTGCAAATTGTTTTCCAGAAGTAGTGGACCAATTCACAGCTCCACTAGTAGTGTATTAGTGTGCTTGTCTTTGTACACCTACCCTGGCTTGAATTGTGTCAATTTCTATTTTCTTTGTCAGTTTTTTGGGTATATTTAATTTATTTTTCTTATTGTTAGTAATTTGGAGGATTTTCACATGGTTATGAATAGTTTTCATTTCTTTTTAAAAAAATGATTTTTGTTTATAAATTACCCATTATGAAATGCCTCTTTTTCTTATTATATATTTTTGTGAATTCTCTATATATTTTGGATACCAAATTATCATCAGTTATATTTATTATTTTTCCACTCAACAATTTTTCTTCTATATTCCTTAATTTCTCCTGCAAATATATTTTTAAAAATTTTATGTATTTGTTTTATTATTATTTTTAATGATCTTTGTTATTCATATGTATCTTTCACAAAAAATAGATATATTAAAGATTTCTCTTTCCAATCTCTTCAAATTATTTGACATTTTGCATTAAAAATGCTTATTTACTTGAAGCTTATTTTGGTATATGGTATAAATTGCTGGTCTAAATTAAATTTCTGCCAGATTGTCTTCAAATGGATTGAATTTTCACTTCTACCTATATAACCATGTTTTCTTCTAAATAAGCTTTTTAATTTAATTTCCCCTACATATTACTGCACATGTCTAATTTCATTGTTGATATAGTTGGAGTGGAAATTTAAGAGCTCAACTTCTATTTGTGGTAACATAAGGGGTAGACTGAAGTATGAGGGAAATCTAGGAAAAGAGTGGATGTTAACAATATACTCAAAATGCTGTATTTCAAAAATCATGAGAGTTTATAATTGATTGTAATATTTAGAGTAGAGACTTTAAAAAAATATATTGCCCTTGTAGTTGATTCACTATGTGAGATAAATCATTACCAACTTTCCTTTCGCTTTCCTTTTTTGCATATATATACATATATAATATATATTATATATATAATATACATATTATATATGTATATATATATATATATTCGTCTGTACAGATACACCATTATTCTCTACCTTGTAGCTCTTGTTTCCATGTTTTCAGGTCGCATGCTCCTCCTTTGCTCCCCAGAGCCTGATATCTTCTTGGATTTTCAGCCTCAGATCTAGGGCTTGCACCTTTTTAGCTTCAGTCTGATTGATTTTCCTTTTCTAAACAGAAGCCCTAACATGCATTCCTCCTGGCCTTACTCTTCTTCCAGAGTAGACTGGTAAAGTGAATAACATTTCTGGAAACATTTGAATTATATAAAGTAATCATTTTCCAGCACTTTGGAAAACCTATTTACATGCAAACACTTAAAATGCTAATTAAAATTCATTTTAAAATCTGTTCATCAAAGTAAGTTTCCTAAGAGCTTAGTTTATTATAATCCATTAATGGTGACATTTTTCGTATATATTCATTATTTTCATATATTATATACATCTATACATATATGTATGTACATAATTCACATATGTCTACAAAATCTACCTTAGTTTCCTCAAAGTGTGTGCATTTATGTATATATGTATGTATATATGTATATACACATACACACATATACAGTCTGCTTTAATTAGTTTTTTTAAAGTTATATATGTATATCTCTCTATATAAAACTAATTTTGTTTATATATAATTATATGTAAACTAGCTATATTTAGTGAAAAGTTTATATAAATGTATATGTGAGTATATATACATACATATATGTACATATATACATTCATTCATATATATTATATATATATATATACATACATACACATATATTTTAAAAACCCTAATTAATATAGACATTCTGCTCAAAAGGCTACTTTGGTTATAGCACACAGAGACTTGAACTTGGAATCAGAAGACATAGGTTCAAATCTTATCGATGATAATAGGTACTTGTATGCCCCTGCCCAACTTTGACCTCTCTAGTTTTTCTCTCTCCTATAAAATAAGAGGGTTTGACTAAATTCATTCTCTAAGGTCTTCTTCATCTCTAAATATATGAGCTTATAACTAAATCTGAATAAGCAAAATTGAATTGAATATATATCTTTTTAATAGGTAAAACATGATCTTCGAATATAACTTTCTTCTTAAAAGCAAAACTCTGTAGAGTTGATTAAACTTTGTTGAAAAATTGCTTCAATGAACATCGTCATTCTTTCCCCTTCATTTCCAACATTTGCCTCTTACAGCTGGGTTCTGCTACATAAAATAGTAGAAAATAGATGTAAGTCTTTAGTAGAATTATGGTATTTTACTTAGATTGAATAACAATATCTTATAGTATATTTTTAAAAATTTAACATTCATTTAAGGGCTCTGTAGCATAAAATATTTTTATGAAAACATGCTTACATTAATTTAGAAAATCTTTCCGTTACTTTACATGACATCATTACATATACAACTAGTGAATTCTATACTCTTTAGTGAAAAGCTATGATTTTCATTAGATATATTTAATAAAAAAATTTTCATTAGACATGTTTAAATAAAAGTCATATTCTAATAATATAGCATTTAGAATTATACCATTTTCTTTCTGGACAGAGACAGATAGGTGATCACAAAATGCACTCCATATAATTAAATCAAATTTGAAAGATAGGTACAAATATTGGAGTAACAAGTAAGGAAAAAAAACAAACAACCATACATATATAATCATTTATGAAGAATGACCATGGTGCACACAAGCTACACATTTCCCATGAAAGAATGTCATCTGCATGCCTTTACTTTAATGATATCTAGAAATAATAAGTTAAAATCCATTTTTCTGTAATTATGACATAGCTACAGGGAGAACAGTAACTTTTTTGTTTGAATGACAGTAGCAAACATTATTAAAAGTCCTGCTTCCCTGCTATCAATGAATATTATGGTAGAAGCAATATCTTGCCATGTAGACAGGGACAGGCTTTGTTGTTGTTATTTGTTTGTCTTGTTTTGCTTTGGTTTTTTTTTCCCTAAAAGATGGGGAGATTGTCACTGAGACTTTATTGGTCCAGAAGACTAGGACTAGAGAAGTTGATGCAGCTTTCCAATCATGTAAATAACAAAAACATCCCTCCTTACAACCTGGAGTAGTTAGATACTCTCAAACTTCATAGATGTCCCATTACTGTGGGAATCAACATATTCTTTTGACCAGATGAATTTTTTAATGGAAATGTGGAAAATAAGCCAGTGCTGTAACCTTGCTGATCTATCCTTTCTATGGAACCATTGAGAAAACATTTTTTTTGTTAAAGGTTAGAATGTCTACACGTTATCTTATTTGTTTCCAGACCTAAGATTGACCATAGAGACCACCTAAATCAGGCCTGCCACAAAATAAAAATTTTAAATAATTAGCATAGGGTGGAAGTTTTTCTGTAACTGGTTAGTCCCAGGAAAGTCATTTCATTCCTCAGAAGTCACTTTTATGACCTGAGTTGAAGGATATCAAAAATGACATCAATAGAATGAGTGTAACTGTGTATAAATACAGGCATCTTTCATTTATTAATGCTAGAAGGACCAGGCAAAACAATGAATTCAAAAATGTGCTTGGTCTCTCAAGATATTCTTAGATTTTGTTTTTTTTTTCCTAGTTTAATGTATCTGAATAAGTACAAAAAAAGTCACAGGAGTAATTAAAGCAAATAGTCTGATGCCACTTAAAATTAAACTTCACTCTCCAGGTAATTTTGCTAATTATTATACTTGTTAGTTTTAAATTTGTCACAGGGATTAAAAATGTCAGCCACTTGGTCAATAACATCTATTCAGTGCCTACCCTGATCAGATCGGTACGAGGTGATTTTTTTTTCCTGGAAATTATCATGTAGGAGTTGCCAGATTGGGAAACTTGAATAGATAAGTGAGCTTCTGTAGACAAGATAAATATTTGGCAACAGCATACTTGATGCAAGTGCCCCAAGAGAGCATGGTGAATCTCGTGGTGAGACTACCTCTTGCTCATTAAAATGAAGTACCAAATTTCAGGTTTTATCTCATACAAGAATAGAAGAAGGATTTCTTGAATATTTGTCAATGGTATGTGGTATAAAGAGAATCTGTGTTATTATTTAAAAAATATCACTGCACTGAAAAAACACTTTATTTATATGTTTCAAGGCAATGGACAGTATTTTCTCTATGTCAACTCATCTGGCCCCAGAGAAGGATATACAGCGAGAATTACTACCACCCACTTCTTTCCAGCAAGCCTTGGAATGTGTACAGTTCGGTTTTGGTTCTACATCAGTGGTCCCAGTGATATGGGAATCTTAAAGGTAACAAAAGGGAAAGAACTTTTTGCAGCCATTATCAAAGTATTGAGGTTATTACCATCTACAGATTAAGCTGTTTAAACAATCATTTAATTGTCACATTTTCTTAATAATCAGAGGGTCAGCTCTTTGATTTAATGTTTTTGTTGTTGTTTTTCTGAGTAGGATATCTACTAATCATAATTCTTGTCATTCCTAATAATTATTGAAATATTAGCTATTTTTATCTTTAGGCTTAAATCCCATTATAGGTCCAGGGTTTAAAAGATTGTACATGGTTAATATTTAAGGGAGAATATTCAGATTCCATATTTTCCTCCTAGAAAAAATTGACAAAGAATATTTTTATTTTGATAATTTTATAAATGTGAATACTCCCTTCACCAACATATATTGCAACCTCTCCATACTTATGAAACCTTTATTGGTCAACATTTTTATAGTATTTTAAGGTTCACAAAGCACTTCACATATATTCATATGGGATATCATTTGAACCTCATGACAACCTTTACGGAGATTGGCGTTATAATGAACCCCATTTTACAGATAAAGAAACAAAGGCTAACAAAGGTTATGTGAATTGCCCAGGGTGATAGAGCTCATAAATATCTGAAGCATGGTGGTGGCAGTGATGGAAAGTGCTAAAAATGACAGCTTTTAGATTAGCTTTTATTAGTGCAGTACTTCTTTTCATTTACTTGGCCAATATTTTCTTTGTTGTCACAAGGACACAAGACACACAATTACATCCACACTGTTAGAGGTAAGTGGGTTTTCTTTCCTGGCATGCACAAAGGACTCAAATTTAAGCAACAAAGGTAATAAGGGACACATCTAAGAAATATGTAGGCCTGAGAGACATTTGACCATGCCCATGAGAGCCTTTTTCTGCTCTTGTGAAGTCACCATCAAGTTTACTTCTGTATGTGGCATCACTGGTGGACAACTTATTCCCTTACTTAGGCAGGCTGCCTCCTTTCAGAACATGTTTTTGCTGAGTAACCCAGTCACTGCTGGGCTAGATGAAGCAGATCTCTCCATTGCTGAATTAATTCCTCAATGGACCCAGCTGCAGTTGTTACTAGGTCTTGTGAACTCTGCTATTCACTCTGGGTGCCAGGGGTAGGAGGACCTTTGTGGGCTCTTTTAACCATTTGTAGTTCAATTAGGTGGTAACTTAGTCAATTCCATTTCTGGATACCTGTTAACCTCAAGTTAAAAGAAGACTAAACGCAAAAGAAACAGATTTGGCGTGTGTTCATCGTTACATGTCAGCTGGGTGGTAAATAGGGGTGCCTACAACCCTCTTCAGCTTGGCAGCCCACAATTTTCACCTTACTGGCCACCAGGAAGGGAAAGAGCAAAAATAGCGGAGGGAGAGAGTGAGTCATTGCATAATAGTAATGGTAATGATTTTGTTTGCATGCTCAGTTCCAGCTCAGTGCCTTCTGAGTCATTGGCTCCCCTAAGATCAGAAGATTCCTTGTCACCACACAACATAAGGCTCCTAGTCACTCATGGCCAGAAACAGGCTCACCAAGTTTTCTTAGATTAGAACCAGGCAAGGAATATCTATGTATGGTTTGTATAACCAACCAGGAGGGGCAAATCTGAGCATTCTCAAAGGATTTGGCCCTTGGTGGTCAGTCCCCAATTTTATTACTTTAATTTCTACTGGAGGAGCTAAACTGTATCACTATTGTCACTATCACTTTAAACAAAAAACAACAACAAAAAAAAACAAAAACAAAATAGGAAATTCCTACTAAATGGTAACATATTTGGCAGATTCTTGGTGGAGTTGGCCTTAGAGAAAAAATAAGGAATAATCACAAGAGACATTTAAAAGTTCTTAAAGCACTTTACATACATTAAGTCATGTTAGCTTTACTATAATCTTGTTAGGTGAGTACCAAAGAAGGTAAAAAAAAAAGTTTTATATCACCATTTTAAAAATGGAAAAACTGAGGCCCAGAGATACTGGGAAATTTGTTTATGGTCAAGTCTAGCAATTATCAGATGGAGAAAACAAAAACATTATTTGCTGATTCTAAATTCAATACTATGTTCACTATGTCATATTTTCTGCCTCCTGGCTTTATGGGCACTTAGTAATTTCAGGTGGCCATGTTCATGATAAGCATAAGCAAAAACAACTATCATATAAGATAATTTCACTTTTTATGTCAATATCTGTGAAATAGGATGAAGAGATATCAAAATTCTTTGAAGAACTTGATGATCTCCTCAGAATCAAGTCAACATATATTTTATTCCTTGATGATTTAATTGCAAAGATGTATACAAGGAAAGACAATAAAAATAAGCTCTAGAATTAAGAAAGAAAAGAGATCAAAGGCTTATAAGCCTCAAAGAAACTTAACATAAATTCTTTCTTCTAAAAGGCTGCCAAAAGACAATGGGGTGACATTTTTTAATGGAATTGGCCTTATCTTTTTGAACAGGATAACTCTGGTTCCCAACACAGAATCATTTCAGAATCAGCTGTTTCTCTACTATCAGATCATCAGGTAGCTGGAACAAAAGTCAAAATCAATGACAAATTAGAAGAAATGACAACAATAAGAAGATATCGTATGCAATTAATTCAAAAAATTTAAAAAGCTCCAACCTTATCTATTAAAACAGTCCTTTGAATCTAAAAGAAATGCAAAATGGATGAAGGTAAACACATTGACTTTGATTCTTGCCATTTCTTACAGCACTTCAACTAAAATAAAGTAGATGTTATGATGAAGAAACCAAAAGAGTTAGGCAACATCTCATCCAGGAGATAGTTTATCTGCTTTTCAAGTGGAAAATTAAAACAGTCAAAAGTAATCTTGAATGAATTTGTTCAATTATCCTCTGGTTATCAAAACAAGACCATTTGACAAAAGTGTTTGTCATTAAACTGGAGGCTGTTGAATGCAGAATAGAAGGGGAAGAGAAATTTCCCAGAGATGGTAAAGTCTTGTGGATGTTCCTAACTAATAACTTTGTCTAATTGCCTAAAACCTCATCATACTCTAGCTGCTGTTGTTGATATAAATCAGCATCTCATCTGTAACTTACAGCTCTAGAGAGTTGTTTGGGGAACTGAGAGATTAAGTGACTTGCCCAAAGCTACACATTAAGAACCCAGATCTTCTTAAATCCAGTTCCTATAGCCATTTTGCTACATTCATTCTTAAGATACAACCACTAAAAAGAGTTTACAACAACTAACTTTTATGTAGTGCTTCACAGAGAGCACAGTGCTTTAACTCTATTACCAGGAAAAACAAATGGATAAAAAATGACTATCTTGCAGATTATCATATGAAAATTAATCCATCAGTCCATATATCTTAGTCAGTTACTGTATATGGGCAATGAGCTGGCCCAGAACTGAATAGGAAGAGCAGAAAGGACCAGATTGCATCAATGAACTGCATTTGGCGCCATTGGAATGAGATTTTGAATCCAATGAAATATTGAAATGGAATTAATAAGTACTGACCACCGAACACTTCCCTGGGATGGTATTTCTATTGTTGTTGTGTGGAATATACTATACAACTGTTCTTGAAAAAGGGCACTACTCAATGGTGAGTTATTACTTATATGTTCAAGTTTTACTGACCAATGAAATATCAATAGTCCTTTTCATCCTGAGGACAAGTGAATATAATCCTTTGATTAATGACTAAAACCTCTGAAATCCAAAGCATCCCTCAATGGTTGCAAAAATATCTACTAACATAGAAAAAAGCCAATTTTATTAGCTGGCAAAGTAAGTCTTGCTAGCTATTTCCCAGTTATGGCATACTGCTTAAGACTGTATCTTTTCATATATTGGGGTACAAAAAAAGATACTAGCCCTAAAATTCTGAGTTATACTTTAAGAAAGCTGATCCTTAGCATATGCTGACTGTGCAAACAGTTAGCAGCTGAGAGTAATGGTGAGCATTGGTAAAGCAATGGGCCTGGAGACAGGAAGACTTGAGTTCGAATTGGGGCTCAGATATTTACTAGCTATGTGACCCTGAGTAAGTCATTTAAACTCTGTTCACCTTCATCCATTGGAAAAGGAAATGGCCAACCACTCCATTATCTTTGCCAAGAAAATCCCATGAACAGTAAGGCCCATGAGGTCACAAAGAGTTAGATATAACTGAATGATTAAACAACAGCAAGAGTAATGGCCCTTAGAAATTTTCAGTGATACTGAATGACTTTGGGGACATAAAACAAGCATGCTCATAAAGCCATACAAATGCCATGTAAAGACATATAAATGTCACTAAAACTGAGAGGTTGCCTTCTATTTCAACCTTAGCAGCCAAGGTGAAGGTTCAGGGGAAACCAAGCCTCGGTCCTATTGCCTATCAGACAGGAAGGATGGCTTCATTAGATGCAATAATTCCTGCCCATTCATTTCTCTGAATATCTTAGTCATGTAAATGATCTTTAAATTGGAAGGTACTAATGACCTCTAAGAAGAGTTGTACTGAGACTGAAGTTTTCCAGCCTGCACAGGGTGTAATGATTTCACTTCGAAGCTAGGGCTCTCCACAGCCTCTTCAACCTGGGCACAAGAGGGCTCTAGCAAATGACCAACAATTGTGAGCAGGAAGAGATGTAAAGAAAACCACTGAGGAAATGTATTCTAGGAATGTGAGTTGGTCCAGTCCTCTAGCGATGACAGCTAATGAACAGGCTGTATTATTCCTAATACAAAGACAGCGATTTCTGCAGAATAGTATGTTACTATGTTAGGTATTGAAGGGTGACTATGTGACTGCCTTGATTAAATGTAACAGCATATCTACCTCCTGAATCATATAACTGTGAGTACTGCTGGATCAATGTGAAACTGATTTTTTTTACCTTAGCAGATCTCATAGGGATTGGGATTTGGATGTCTCTGAAGGAAATAAGCATTCTTTGAGAGAGATAGCAAATCTCGACTTGTTATATTATTCTTCTTTATCAGGATAAGTTTTGTTGTTTTTGTT